AGAGTTGCGACTGCGAGAACTTTTTGTAGGAAAGAAAAAGGGGCTTTTGAAAACCTAGTGTGGGCTAGAAGCGATAAGAATCACTGAGTGGGTTTCTTGGTAGATTGTGTGTTGTGCCGTCTCTAGGAAAAGTTGTTGTTCATTCTTTATGGATTCAAAGGAGGTGTTCATCTCTTGTGTGACTCAAAAGAGGTGTTTTATATTCCTTATCTTTTCAATTTGTAATCTGTTTATAAATTGTGATTATAGTGGCAGCGTTAATCCTCTTTTTGAGTGATTAGCAACTGGATGTAGGGTCTTTTGATCCGAACTAGTATAAATCAATTGTGTAATCTTCTTTCCCTTATCTATTTACTTTACAAAGCATTTTAATCGGTGAAATTTGGAAAAAATTTTAAAACCCTAATTTTTGTTTAAGAAACCAATTCACCCCCCTCTTGGTTTTTGTCCGTAAACGCGAACATTCCGCTGCGTGATTCTAACAAAATGTAGAACACATCCCTAACCAAACAAACTCTTCGTCGCTAACACCAACATAGTCGAACAACATTTGTCCCGACATGTCATTGATGTCGTTCGCGCTCGAGATTTGGGGCATATGTGCCACAAAGACCTTATCATGGTCCCACCTTGTAAAATCCCAAGTCATGCTACCCCGTCACATGACATGATGGGAAGGTTATGTTACTCTATCTCTAAAGAAACTCCATAAAAATAACTACCTAACTTATTTGAGCATCGAAATATCTTCACAAGTACCCAAATTTGAGAACATGTCAACCCAAGTAATCAGACAAAAAGGTGAGATTGAAGAAGACGCTAAATAGCTTTGACATTCTACATCGTGGAGCATCGTTCAAGAGCTCAACCGTCAAGTAAAGGGTCGAAACAATGAGGTTGAAGAAAGGGATTCGTGAGGAGGAGACTTATTATTCTACCCTGTAAGAACAAGTATTAAATAGAATAAATAATTAAAACTTATTTATATACACTAAGTATTTTTTTCTTATTATTACTAACAAATTTATAATATATTGAAAGAATGAGCCAAAAAAATATTAAAGTTAAATGCAAAAATCCATGATGAAGATCGAGAAGATTCAAAAAATTGAGGAGTCAATCAAAAGATGTAAAGGAAATTGAGATCGAGAGAAACAAATGAACAAAAAGTGTAAATCGAAAAACCGGAGAATTAATTATTCATAATAATCGAAAGGAAAATCGAGAAAAAACAAGATAGTAAGAGAAAATTAAAATAAATCGAAGGTTCATATGATTGAAGGAAAAATTGAGAAGAAGCAAGGCAATAAGAGAAAATCATATAATTAAGAAATTGAAGATTCATAATGATTAAAGGAAAATCGATAAGTACGCAGAAACGATTATAACTTCATAATGTGACAAGGGATGATACAATTTCATAACATGATATGACAGGAACGATTACAAATATTATGTGTGACAATGAAACTACTTGAGAAATAAGGAACAACAGTTGATAAAACAAAAAAACCATTTTTATTTTATTAATAGTTACATAAAATAACATATAAATAGGATAAAATAAATATAAACAAAGATGATGACAAATTGTAACAAGACACTTACATTCTAAAAAGACGTCACGAAAAAAACTATTTTAATAAAATTTTAATAATTTAGGTCACTATTTTCAATAAATTTTTTTATCCATTTCTCTCTTATCCTTAATAATTTACATTTTTTATATATTTATATTTATATTTCTCGTATATATATATATATATATATATATATATATATATATTCGCATTTTCACTTTACGTGATTTAATATTTAAATTAATATTAAAAATCACAATTTATAATTAGAAAAATGTTATAAATTTTTTTTATCAAATTAACATATAAAAGATCTGATAAAAAATTCTTTAAATTAAAAAAAAATACTTATTAGTATATAAAAACAATTCACAAATAATAAAGTGATTTATCTTTAAAAAATTAATTCATAAGAAAAAAATATCATATCTAAAAAATTAAATAATAAAATAATAAAATTGTCCAATCATTCTTCATAATAAACATTTATATTTAAGTGGAAAAGAAGTACTTAATCGAGTTTGTGACAGTAGTGGAAGTTGGACACCTTATATTTATTTGTCACTATGAATGAGTGATAGATTTCTCTACCAGTCACTGCCCTCTGACCAAATTGATTTCGTATTACCACACTAACATCACTTTTGTGATGAATGTTACTATTATTATTTCTTTTCATTCATCATCAATCGTCATCACATTATTCGATTACTATGTTGATTATGGATCCACAATTCTTCCGATTTAAGGATAAAAGAATTCTTTCGAATTAAGCATGTGTATGAAATATTTTCGAATTAACTCAAGAATTAAATTATTAAATAACATATATATAAATATTTTCTTTTTCTAACCATTTTAATGTTATCGAAAATATTAAAAAGAATGTTAATATTAGATATGAAGGTGCTATTATTAATTAGATATGTATTTTGAAATATTAAATTAATAAATTATTCAAATAATAAATAATATAATGTATTTTTTAAAAGTATTTTAAAAAATCTAAAAAAAAATATTTTTTTAAAACTTGTGAACTAATTGATCCAACACATATTTATTTCATTTGGGTTGGGTGGATCGTGGATGGGGTTGGTTCATGGGTTTAAATGGCATTGAATTGATGAATAAGTGCAAATCATCATTTATATTTATATGATTTGACAAAGAAACCAACATTTATATTTTTATAAGAATTAATTTACGTATTTTTTTCAAGATTAAGAAAAATAATTATATCAAAATAAAGATTAATAATATCGTTAAAGCTAAATTAATTTACATAAATGTATTGATTTCATTTAGAAAATCACATAAGTATTGAAAAAAAAAAGTCCTTGTAAGAAAATCGATTAAATTTCTTATGTTTTCTTGAATTTTACGAATTACCCTTAAACTATATAAGAAAAACATATAAGTATGTATTCGTATAATTAACTGCTGATTTAATTCCATCTCCACTGGGCAAAATATGATGTAATAACAATTTAAATTGTTGAATAACTAAAAATAAGAAAAAAAAATTATACGATGTAAAATCAAAATCTTAATATTTTTTAGTATCAAAAATTAAAACTTTATAATGAATAATAAAATAGTTTTAAAATAATTTCCTTATGAGGATATATTGAAATATTCAACCTGTTCCACGTTTTTTACGGGACGTGTGATTTGTTTTATATAATCACCTAAAGTAACAAAAATAATTATAAAAAAATGAATTGAAAAACAAACAAAATTATACATAATTAAAATTAAAAGCTAAAATTATATAAAAAGATTAAACACTAAAATTATAAATTTGATAATATATATTAAAAAAAAGTACTGGGTACCGACTGGACTAATTCACAGGTTTACAGGTGGACAGACATTTATTATACGCGTACAAGTAGCATACGTATTTAATATGGACAACTCTTTTTATTTATTTTTTAAAATTATCTTCATTTTGAAAAACTATTTTATAAATTATGAGTAGAAATGAAAAAAAAAAAAAGTCAATTTCATTAATAATGTATTAGAAAAATATTTTAAAAAATTATATAATTTTACTTACACAAAAACCTATTTATTTTAGTTTATTAAGATATTTTTAATAGAAAATATAAAAGAAATAAGGTAATTTAATATTTTTAAAAAGAATCTCGTGTAAAAATACAAACATATTTTAATACAAAAAATCTGTGGTTAGAATTCTTCGAAATATTGTAAGACAATAACTACAAGCCAGCATGTCTTAAATAAAATTCATCTTTAAAAAGATCCAAATAAATGTGAAGATGTTTAAAAATTAGTTGTATCTCTGATAAGCTCCAAATATTGGTTAAGGTTGGATATCTAGAAATTTTGTCTATACTATTAACATATATATTTCACTCATTTAATCTTAAAAATAATCTCTGTAGTAAATAAGATATAAGCTAACTATATAATAATTATGTGCTTACACATTATTTCTTTTTCAATAAATCTTACATCACTTAATAACGTGGTTAAATACATAATAAAGCTATACACAAAAATAAATCCATATACATATGCCTCAAATAAGATAATTTAATATTTTAAAAAAATCTCGTGAAATATTTTTTAAAAAGAATTCAAATTACAATTTTCATTCCTACTTTAAATACATTCAAAGAAAATTACATTAAACAATTAAAATTCTTGGTAAAAAAAATATTAACCCTAACTGCTAAAATGTTCAAATATATTTGGTCATATAATAAGTTTATAATTTTATTCTTTAAACTCACATAAAATGGTAGTATATTTGATGATAAAATTAATTTAAGATTTTATTCTTTCTTGAAACACACATTTGATAAAATAGATTGTAACACACTCTACTAATTAAGTGAGTTCATAGATTATATGCATGTCTTCAAATTTCACTGGCAACATCATTTAATTTTTGAATCCAACCTTGTAAAAAATACTCTTATCATCTATCGTGCATTACATGTTAGAGTTTCAATGAAAGAAGTTAGCCATCTCAATCTATGCTCCTAGAATTTTATTCCAATTCCAAACAACACACGTTTGTTTCTCATTTCTGTTCTCGTTCAACATCTCAATCATCACATATTGTAAACCAATGTCATAATTCATATCGATTGTCACTCTTATAAGCAAATCACAACCTTTTAAATTTTGTAAATATTTTCCCTTTTTTTTTCTGTTCGAACAACTTATATAAACTGCCTTTTCCTTTATTAAATGAATTAAAAGTGCCATGTTCAAATTTTAAGAAAGGGATGTAAAGAGACGTAGACGTGAACGTGCAAAGTTGCAACCCTGAAACAAGCTAAGCTAAGCACTAGAAAGAAGATAGAAGCCTTTTTTTTTTTTGGGTTTTTCTCTCTCCTTTTTTTTGGGGTTTTTTTCTATCTCTTTCTTTTGCATCTCCAACAAATCATGGTTTCAGCCAATCTAGTACTCTTCTCAGCCTTGTTGCTTCTTTTGGTCGGTTTTGCAACCTCCGATGTTAACCAAGACAAAGAAGAATGTACGGACAAGCTCCTTGGTCTAGCTGGTTGTCTCACCTACGTCAGTGGCGAAGCCACACTCCCCACCATCGATTGTTGCTCTGGTCTCAAACAAGTTATTGACAAGAGCAAGAGGTGCCTCTGCATCCTCATCAAGGATCGTAATGACCCAAGTCTTGGCCTCAAGATCAATGTCACCCTCGCTCTTAATCTCCCAGAAGTTTGCAAAACACCCACTAATATAACCCAGTGTGTTGGTAACTTCCTAACCTCTTATTTCTGTGTTCCTGTGATATAATCTATGTATGACTCTTGATTTGTCACACGTGCCCGTGCCCAATTTTGAGGCTTTATCTGTTGTTTCAGATTTGTTGCATTTGTCACCGAACTCCCCCGATGCTAAGGTGTTTGAAGGGTTTGAACAGGCCTTGTCCAACAAAACTAGCCCCTCTTCAGCCCCTGCCGGTAAATATTCATTATTTTTTATCATTCATAAATCCACTTTTAACCCCTTTAACCAAGGTGGATTTTTTATTCCCTTCAGCTCTAGTTGCAATTGTGAATGCAGTTTCTTTGCTTTTATATATATATATATATATATATATATATATATATATATATATATATATATATATATGCAGACAAAATCAGTCAAAATGTAGACCAGAGATTCTTAAAAAACTTTGATGTAGCTCTTAGTGATCCCCTGTAGACTAAAATATACTGATTGCTCTAAACTAATTACAAGGTTACAAATAAGGACAGTATTTTGAATTTTGTAAATTGGGTGTGGAGTTTTGTTGGAATGTAATTGAGATGATGGAATCACTGTACTTTAACAATATGTAGGGTTTTGATTGTTTGTATTGACTCTAACATTGTGGGGGGAACTGAAAATTGAGTGCAGCTAGTAACGCCACTGCAAAGGGAGGAAACACAAGCACAGACAAGAAGAACGATGGAGGGTGGGGAAGGAGGTGGTTGGTGGCAGAAGTGGCGTGTGGGATTTTACCACTAGTCTTTGTATTCCATATGGTGCTGCTCCTTGTTTGAAAGCTGGAAGATGGAAGGTTTGGTGGTTGTGTCTATTTATGTGTTGTGCATATGCATGTTGAGGATGCAATTTCTAATTTTTGTTGTGTTGTCCTTTTGCTCTAGTAATTATCTTGAGTGTGTGTGTGTGTGTGTCCATCCTCTGTTGTCTCTTTGTGATTAATTTTCCTACTAATGGAAGCATCGAGAGGGACCCCTTATTTAAATATCTTTCTGCTAGGACCTTCCATTTACGTCATTGCAAGGATCGTTTCGTCAATGTTCACATCTTCTTTTCTTCTCATTTTCTACTTTTACTTTCAATCAAATAAATGTTCATATTTAATAGTTAAATATTTTAAATTATGATGATCATAACTAAATAATAAGCGTCAAACTTTTAGCTGAAGTATAAGATAGTTCTTATTTTTTTAATTTATTATTTTCATGTTTTTGAGAAAATATAGTACACTAAATTCGTTTTGGACTTATCTCTTCGCATGTCCTGTGTTTAAATTATATTTAAAATTTTTAGTTGTACTTTTATTTTTTAATTAAGTATTTGTGAGTTTAATTGTTTCATTTAAATATTAGTCGTTATTGAGTTTTTTCTACATTTTATAATTAATTTATATATATATATATATATATATATATATATATATATATATATATATATATATATATATATAGTGTGTGTGTGTGTGTGTCTCTGAAAAAAAGAAAACTAAAACTAACAAAAGGATTTACTTCATTTTAAAATTCTAAACATTGTAGTTTTTAATTTATGAAAAAGTTATTTGTGAAATAAAGTTAAAAAATATTATAATTTAAAACAAGTTGTTCAAATTCCATAAAATCCACGTAACGTAATTTTATTTATTTATTTAAGATTAAATAATTACAAAAATGTGATGAATTTAAGCTCTCTTTTTTTTTTATGTTACGAAGTAAGCTATGTTCGGCACCATATTTAAATTCAACAATGCATATAAACTTGAGTAATTAAATATAAACACTTGATTATTACAAACTTTTACACTTTTAATTAACTAATTTATTCTCAAAACTCACTGAATTGAAAGTTCTCATTAAAAAAATATTAATCTATAATTATTTGACACCTTATTTAATTTATTAAAATTGATATAATATATAAATTTAAAAAAATTAATATGAACTATTTGATTATTTAATACTCAACCAATATAGTACATAATTGTATTTCAACGACAGAATCGTAAACAAATAATTTTCATCGAAAGTGAATGAAGATGTTATAGTTAATATATTTATATTAGTGTCATTTGATCGTTTTCCTTAAATATTATATCATATTTGAATAAATTAATTTAAAATATAAATTCATTATTTTTTTAAATGAGGAGCGATCAAACATAACCTAATACTTAACGTTAACCAGTTATGTATAATTATATAATGAAAAAATATTATTCTCATTAACACGTAAGAATAAACGGTTATTTTCATTAATTATTACTTTGGCCTTTCACTACAACAAAAATATGTTAGCAGAAATCCGCAAATCTGTAGCTAAATTTATATTATTTACAGATAAAAATTCATAAGTAAATTTTTCGTAGGTAATAATTATTTATAGATTTTTAATATATGTAGGTAATTACCTACGGATATCTATAAGTAATTACCTATAGATATTTCCGTAAGAAATTATCTAGGGATATATCTATATGAAGTATCTATTACTCTCCATTCTTTTTACATTATTCTGATTGCATTGACCTAGACATTAAATGATATATAAAATTATATAGATACAAGTTCATAACTAGAAAAAAATAAAATAATATATAAAATAACATAATAAAATAATATATAAAATAACATAACAATTTATTGTTCCAATACAAAATAAAAATGTCAAATATATCCAAATATAATGAAAGATATCCAATACAATTTCCTAAAATGCTAATAATCCATGTAATCATCATTTGCATCCTTCTATTGATCTTGATTTTGTTGTTCGGTATTTGGTTCTCAACCTTCTCTTGATCTCCATTGTCTTGATTAATTGGTTGTTGCAAAATGTTTTGTGTTGCCGCTGCTGCTGGAGGTCGTAAGTATTGAAGGACTACGGCAATGAATGCTTGGATGGACTCGAACTGGAGTCCATCATACGAATCTTTTCCTCATTACTTTCCAATCGTTGCTCACTACTTTCCAGTCGTTGTGTCAGTTGATTAATTTTTTGTGAATCAGCTTTCTGACTGGAGCACACTTCTATCTGTTGTAGATAACTTTCAACACAATCATCACTAGAGTCAACATGACCAACTCCATACACGCATCCCTTATACCTTCCTCCTGCAGCCTCTAACCAACATCTATTCCTTAGCTTTTCCTCTTCAATAGGATCTAGGGGAGTGCATTGTGAAGCACTCACATTAGAAGTTGACTCATACAATACTCGAGAATATCTACTCTCAAAGTCTTTCTGTTCAAACAAGACAATTTGTACATGTGTCTTTTAAATGATAAAAAACTTTAAGATTTAATGAAAGAAACTCACATGTGTCCACCTAGACCTATCATCGACGAGTTCTCCATTACTCTTTCTTATATACGTCTGTTGAAAAACTTCATCTACATGGATTAAGCGACCGAGCTCCTCTGTCTGAATAAAAAAAAAAACATAAAATATGTCTTTACCAAATAATTGTTACATCATAAATGAATGGTAAAAAATATTGAAAAATTCATACCAAACGGATGGCGTGTTCATGCACACTAATTGATCTGCCGGTGTGCAAACTTTCCCCTTTATTGGATGACCGATTTTTCTTTGTTGTATCACATTTTGATCGATATAGACATGTTCTACTGTTCCAAGAGGTTGTTCCAGATATTATTTCCAATCCAATCAGGCTTCTTGCCTTCTCTTCTAGCCTCTTTAAACATCTCTGAAAGTCTATGTGCAGCTTTGGAGTGGAAATTTTTCTTAATTCTTTCATCATCCTTAGATCTCCATGTCAACTTCCTCTGTAAAACATAATGACTAAGATTGAAAGGATATTGCTACCAGCTGTGGCAGGTTTTGACATCAGCTATTCAAATAATTTTGAACTTCATTAAATCCAAGACAGTTGTGCACACACAATCAAAGGTTGTCATTTACAAATTCTTTCATATCAAACATTAATCAGTAAAGTGTCATCTACAACATCATCAAAGGTACAAATATATTAGAATATAACAACCTTATAATCCACCATATAACACCAACAATATCACCTTATAATGATGCAACATATAACACCAGCAAACAAAGAAACTTCATATTCATTTTATCAACCTAGTGATCTATTTGAAGAATAAATTACCTTAAATCTCTGGAAAAAAATCTCGATCAGCCTTAGGGATTGCCCCCCATGTTAGACATGGTTCACCAAATTGTTGTTTAATGGTGGATGTGATTGCCTTTGATGCAATTTTTGATGGATAAAACCTAAACACAAAAATAAAGTCATAACATGAAATGGTAGTAAAACCTAAACACAAAAATAAAGTCATAATTTTTTATGGATACTTACCCTCCTCCAATAGGTCGAATCATAGGACGATCACCAACTGAGGGCACCCCCTCCTCTGAGTGCGGTACATTCTCTTCATTTTGCACATGATTATGATTAACTGCTGAAGTTGAATGTGTCCCTAGAATATGTGTAGATAGTGATGCTGCAACAGGTTCAGAAGGGGTTAATGCATTAGAAGCAACTACGGGGGAAGGGGTGGATTGATAGGTTGGTGGTGTGTATCCAACAATAGGGGTGGTGATGGTGTGGATCCACCAACATCTGCTACTGGTGGATCCAACGGTTGAAGATAGACCAGGTGTAGTGGGTTGAGTAGATAAACTGAATTTTGAAATTTTAAGAATTGAAATTTAGAATTAAAGCAACCACATGATCACAACAAGAACCAAAATCATTATTTTTCTTGTGCCAAAACAGAATAAAAGACTACTTACAATGCTAACATGGTGGCAGATATACAAGAAACTTACTCATAACTTTATATCGCTTCTGTGTTTATTATAAAAAAAAAAAAAGATAAACAACCCTATCATGTATTTCACAAACTATGAAGTTCACTTTCAAAGGAAAAAGAAGGAAAAAAAACGAAAAACAGAAATGCATTAATGTTAATGATCAACAGTTCAAGAGACATGAATAATTATCACTCTAAAAAAGTCAGGCCAAACATGATGCAGCTAAATTAAACATTATGCAGTTCACTTTCAAAGGAAAAATAAGGAAATAAAAGGAAAAATAGAACTTTACCCTAGTGATAGAAGATAGTTCACTTTCAAAAAAGGAAAAACATAACTTCAACAGGAAAAATAGTTCACTTTCAAACATTATGCACCTAAACCCTATCACTTTCAAACATTAGTGCACAATCCCCTATATGAAACAGTGAAGTTCCAAACAGATAAAACCAACAAGATTATTATTATTAGGATAGAGTTTGTGTGCAAAACATCAAATCATAGTATAAAATACCACAAATAACGTTAGATAGAAAGGAGAGTGGTCCTGTAACATTTCCATTTCACCAAGGTCAATAGTCAACGAAATAAAAGTTTGAGAATATATACAACAATATAAATATGTTGTATGTTAAATAATACCAACAAAAGATGAAGGTGGCACCAGCTTATTGGTCTCCAATTCAGAACTCTCTCAACTTTTCACGTTTAAGGAAAAACTCATAAAATTTGCAGAAAAAAAAAAGAAGAAATAAGAAAAGAAAAAAGAGACAAAAAGGAACCTAAAAGGCCAATATTCAAATCAATATATGACTGGTCAAATAATACATTTATGATACTAGATAGATCCAAAAGATGTGTTTTTAAGATCTACATAATGCACTACAGTACAAATTACAATATAGTTACACACTGTACTCTTCATAAATGCATAGATCTATAGCCTACAACTTCAGCTCATTATGATGACAAAACATTCACTAGTGAAACAAAAGAAGCGGTCTCAAAACCTACACACGTCTGTTCAATGACAACAAATTAACCTCTAACGAACTCACGGTCTATACCAAAATGAACACAAACCTAACAGAGGTAATCGGAGACAAACCTAACAACGCAACAAGGCAAACCCAAATAAGCATGACTAAACCAACTATAGTTAATCCCACAAAATTGGACAACCACAATGTTAGACCATTCACACGAGACCAAACACACAAGTCAGAAACACACCAAAAATTCAATTAACACAATCAAATCAAAAGCAGAGAAGGACATCCAAGACTCAATTACAATAATCTAGACTTAGCTAACAGACCCAGTCCATAATCAAATAAACAGAATCAAACTCTCTCATTAAGACTCAAACCACAGTGATCACAATCCATAATCCCCAATTAGACTCGTACCCCAACCCCACACCAGAAGTGAGTCCAAACCCAGAACTGCCCAATAACAACCCTATACCAAATATTTCAACCAGATATTTACAGCTCAGTTCACCCTCAAACCCGATAATCCACAGATCCAGTAAAAACTCATTTTAAATCCAAGAACCGATCATAAATCGGGCAAACCAAATGAAACAATTTAGACAAAATGCACTTCGAAAACCATCAGAATCACCAAACTCAAATAAAACAATTAGAACAACCAAACTCAAATCACGAACCGTAAACAAAAAATCAAAAAGAGAAAGGGAAACTTAGGCCCGCAGCCCTTACTTCTAACCACCAACCTCCAGGTTGACTTGCAGTGGCTAGGGGGGCGCGAATCACAGCCAGGGTTCCGCGGTTGGGTTGGGGTGATAACGGTGGACATGCGATGTGGGTTTCGCTAGGATGCAGAGGTCGCAGAGGAGGTGAGGGAGAAGGTGTCAGCACGAGCTAGGGCTGTGGTGGAGGCACTAAGATGGAGTCTCATGGTGGCTCCAGGAGGTTGGTCGAACGACTAGGGATGACAGGGGTCGCAGTGGTTTGGTTAGGTTGCTGGAAAGGAGTATAGCGAGGTGGAGAGACCCATGGCCAAGGTCGAAGCGGTGGTGAAACGGGTTGCTCATGGAAGGTTGTTCGAAGGATGTTGATGGCGTGCAGGCGAAATGGGCGAGGTGAGGGATGCTTGGTGGGGATTGGATTAAGGTGAGGTAGCGACTATAACTAGGGTTCACAACAAAGGCTGGGAGGCGCGACAATAACTCGACGAGGTGCACGACAACCTCACAGTGGTGGTGCACGATGAAGATGGTGGTAGAAGTCGCGTCTGAGGTTCACAATGAAGACCATGAAAATGGGGTTCCGCAGGGGGGTCCACGGGTGAGAGGATGTCTCGCAGCTACTGGCTGCGTGGATAGAACCAGGGGCAGCGAATGGTGCGTGGTTGTGGTCGAGGGCGTGGAGTTCAAGTGAAGGGTTGAGGAAGATTGAAAATGGAGCTCAATGAGGGGTGCTCGGGAAAGAGGGGTGTGGGTGGCTGAGTTGTTAAGAGAAGCCGAGAAAAGAGTGAGGCAGAGGGAAGAGGGAATGAGGGAAAAAGGGAAGTGAAGGTGCAAGGAGAGTGGGGCTACTCCGCGGGGAAGAAGTTGCAGAGAAGAAGAGTAAGGAAGAGGGAGTTAGGGCTGGAAAGTGGAGGTCGTGGCTGAGAAGTGCAATTATTTTTTTTACTTTAAAAAAAAAAAAAAAGTTAGCAAGTGAAATTATTTTTTCAATCATATTTTTTAATAAAATCTGTACGTAAAATTTGTATGGAAAGTATGAATTCATTACGTACCGATTTTATTTTCATTACTTACGGATTTCATCCATCGAAAACATTCCACTTAAATACACCAACATTACATACTGGATAATACATACGGATTCATCGTAACATATAATTTTATATACTGGATAAAAATATCGTAGGTAATTTAAAAGGTATCTACGAATATGAATCCGTAGGTAATTTAAAATATATCTACAAATATAAATTCGTAAGTAAATATCAACAGGTAATTGATAATTTTCTTGTAGTGTTTATATTTGTAAAATCTTAGTGGTTTATTATCCATAAGTTTGTTTAACTTTTAATTTAAAAATTCAATATTACACTTTGACATTGGTTAATTAAAGTGTTAAATATGAAAACTAAATTAATAAATATTTTAATTTTATTAAAAGGTAAAAAATAATATTCAATAATTATATTTTTGTAGATAGAGTGATTATTATTTCGTTTCAGTTAATTTATTATGCATTTTTTCTTCCCATTCAATTTGAGTGCAACTATTTTCAAAATGTAAAAAGAAACCTGCTGATCTCAATTTCATTTGTTAAATTCTTACAAAGATAATTTTAGTTTCTTGGTTTCCTTAAAAGTAAGAAAAAAATTAATTTAATACGCATAAAAAGTATTTATTTCAACCGCATAATCAAATGTTTTTAAAATAAAGACATAAAATGCAGAAAAAAATATTAAGAACCAAAATAAAGGATTTTGTAAAATACACAGATAAAAATCCAACTAGATAGGAAATATATATTAAAAAACATTTATCTACTATTTTTTTTATAAAAAATAGTTTTTTATTTTATTACGTAAGTATTGTTTATACATGTATAATGTATTACTACTGTGAGTACCTTTTAATTATTAAAAAAATTAAAAATATTTATTTTATGATAATTTTTATAATAAATTATTATTTTAAAATTATTCAATCCAATGTTTCAATCGCACTCAATTATAATTGAATTAAGTCAAATATTAGATTAACCTCGATCCAACCTCAATCTTACACCCCTACTTTTTTTCTTGTATTGTTGGTATGATCTAAAACTCAAGCGTTTTAGAATTAAAAGAGAAACATTTACATATCATTATTTGATTAAAGAACTTAATAATGAAGATATAAGAAACATGATCCAAGTTTTCTTCAGTGCATTCACTTAGTTAAGAGGTATAATCATACAACACGATTTTTCCTACAAAGATACGCAAGCAATAGTGTCCTAACCAAAATTGTGCAAGTGTCCTGTGCATCATGCAGTCAAAAGGATCATGCCACAATCAGTCAACTATATTGCTGATTACGTATTAAACTTCAAGCAGAGATTTGATATACACGAGGATGTTACAGTGGTTTATATTATATTCAACCCTGGAAAGTCTGGAAAGTAATCATTCAAGCACATAGAAAAAAGATGATGTAGAAAAAGACTTCAGGGGAGCTTGCAAAGCTGTTGTTTTTGCAAGACCCGACATTGCCGTTCATTATTAAGAACGTTTAAACGTTTACAGGAGCAGAAAGTTCTGCAACAAACATGAAGTTGAAGTCTCAACTTAGATATGTACATAATATACGTTCATAGAAGTCTTCCGGGGGAAATAATATGTAGCAACCATACTCAGTTTGAGTTTTGACACTTTGACGTATATAATATAAGCTAGGCAATAGAGGCACAGTAACAGTTTAAAACGTCGTTCCATTATGCCATTCGTGTAAAACGAGATCTACTCCGTGAGAAGCATGGGAATTTCATCTACCGGAGCAGGAAGCTGCAGGTACAAATTGCAAAATATTTATACATGTTAGTTTTTCTCTGACAGCTTAAAAGAAAAAATACCAAGACTAAATGAAGCAGGAAAGTTGCAGATAATATTAAGTTATATAATTTGTGGCGATGTAGTTTTGAGAGATTGTTTGTTCATTTATAAAGGTAACAGATTATTTAAAAGCTACAACAACACTCATATCTCATGGTATGATATGACCAATTGCGTTTACAATCATAACAAAGCTAAAGCAGTTAGCAGAGAGGTTCAATTCATGACCTATACCACCATGCATCAGACACAGACCATTCCTGATTTAAAAGTTATTACGTACTCACAGTTGCTCACGAGACAGAACTCTGTAATCTGCACCATTACTTCCCTTGGCGGGCAAGGCATGGTCAGAGACTGCCTCAGAATTTGAGTCATTTAATGTAAGCAAAACTGCTTATAACACAAGGAACCATGGAGGGGCAACTAGACCCTTATCCAAACAATATTATTCAATGTTCTACTGCTATCAAATAGACCCGTTGCACAGTTCCTTGTGACGCCCATAGGGCCTACATAGTCTGCATTGAAATAAATCCCCTAGCTTCTAAATTACCAGTTTAGTTTTTGGTTTTGGGTAACCCTGTTAAGATACAGAATCCCATTTAAAGGGTTGGAGTGTGTTTGGTAAGTTGCTCCAAGAACTTGAAAGCATGTTTGACCAAAACAACTTTGTTTGAAACACAAACTTAATTTCGAATCTTCCGTTTATTTTCACAAACTATTTTATTAAATATTTAATTTATATCTTTAATTGAAAAAATAGCAACAATTATGAACATAATTAAATATATCATCGTATGTCATTCTATATATATTAACTAGTTTATTTACTAATTTTATCAACATTGTATGTCATTTTAAGACATCTCCCCACATACGCTGATTCCATGGACCAGCGATGAAAACTGTAACCATGTGGATACACACTTCTATTATAACACACCAAATTATAAACCCTGAATTTTATCACAAAATCACACACACCTCTCATGACGTCAAAGGCCTAAAGCCTGATTGGATATCCTTTTTCAGAATCACTTCTAGCAAAGAAAAATATGAAAAAAAAAAAATTTGTCCATAATCTAAAATTAACTTGTACAAAGGTTTTAAAATAAAAATGTTGATAAGTAATACTACAGAGCTTCTACAAATTAATTTATCAAAATTAGTTTATAAAAATGAGCTTATAACTTACAGAGAAATTAATTTCTTCTTCCCATTTCTATATGCTAGAATACCTAAAAATTAACTTATAACTTATAAAGAAGTTTATCCAAACATTTTCCCATAAAAAATTATCTCTTTCTTCCTCATACTTGACTTCAATACGTTCAAAACAAAAATCCAAATAAACCTAATCTAGAGTTTCGAAAACCACTAATTAAGAAAAATGAGAGATGAAACAAGAAATGAGAACCTTAATTCGACGATGACCGCAAGGGGAAGAGGAGGAGAGTGATTTGCGGCAGGAATGAACGGTCTGGAACTGGTCAACGTTGAGTTTCTTGTTGATGATGCCGACCTGGAAGTAGATGCTGTTGGAGGGGGGCAAATCGACCCTGATCTCGTCGACGTTGAACCAGAGGAGAAGGCGCTGCACCTGGATGCCCTTCAGATTCGTGATGGAGCCATAGCTGAGCTTGCCGGTGATCTTTTTATCGTAGTACACCAGGTACTCGAACTGTATGTAGCATGGCTTCGCCAATACGACGGTGAATTGGCCATTCTCTTGGAGCGTGTAGTCGGTGACGGTGTCCGGTAACAGACCACTGGGGAGCCCGAACTTGGGGAGCACCTCGTACACGCTCTCCTTCGCCTTGCAGACACGCGCCCAGAACAGAGCGATCACTACAATGAAGAGCGCGTGGGATGATCGTTTCGCCATACCTGCAATCGGTAGCGAGAGAGAGAGAGAGATTGCAGTGACCGGCGGTGTTTACGATTCTCTATTGCCCTGTGTCTGGTCTTTGTCTCGTTTCCGGAAGAGACTTGGTTTCAATTTAAACACCACCTACCTCATCTATAATTTCCAAGTGTTGCTTCTATCCAAAAAAAAAGAAAAGTAAAATAAACTATAAACCATATCATCTTCATATTATATGAGTATTTTTAAATAATTAAATAATATTACTTAAATAACTAACCATAAATAATGCAGAAATTTTACCCCCAACCAACTAACCATTTTCACAAGATTTGCATAAATAAATGAATATATTCAATAAAGGAATTAATATAATAATTATTAATTTAAATAAAAGTTATTAAATAACTATTATTGAATATTACTAATATCAGAATGAAATTAAGTTAGTAAAAGAATAGTATTAATGTGAAATTATGTTTAATAAGTCAATTTTTTAATAACGACTCTGTTGGTATATTATAGATCATATATAAGTTACTAAATTTGTTATTAGTGTTGGAAAAAAGTTTGTACTATGGTTGGAGTATATATTAACTAAAATGTATTTTGTTAATAAATATAAATATTTTCGTTTACTATATATTACATTATGAATGTATTAATAAAAATATTAGGAAACTGAAATTTATTATTATTATTATTATTATTATTATTATTATTATTATTATTAATACATGTATAAAGTTACTAATAAAATTGTATTACATAAAATTATAGTCATGATTCTTATTATGAACTTTTTTATTAGTATGAATTACTTGTACTTGTTATAGAATTTCGTAATGAATTTTAATTTAGATTTATTATTACTAATTAATATATTAACGTATGATAAAAATCATTTTCAAATAAATACATGATTGTTAATTAATTTATTTATTAATACTAATTAATTGTATTAAATAAAAATATTTAAATGATATTTAAAATAATTTTATTAAGTCTGAACCCATTTTTTAAGTTGAAATTAATATTTTTTTATACATTAGTTTTAAAATATGTTACTCGTGATATATTTTTGTCAAAATATTATTATTTTAAATATATATATATATATAATCTAATTTTATTTTAATAAAACATCTAAAATAAAGAGAAAAAAGTGTAAATAAAATATCTTAAATTTTAATTCTTAAAATATATGAGTTATGAACATAAAATAATATATATTAGTGTAAATACAGATGTGAAATCGGACCTTACTTAAGTAATTTTTTTTCAATTTTATTTTATTTTTCTTTTTATGTATTCAGTTTTTCTTATATAAATTATTTTTTTCTTTTATATGTTATTATTTTTTAAATATATAAATTATAATGATTATTATTTTTCTTAAAGTATTATTTTTTTTATTTTATTTTTTAAATTGATCATAACAAACAATCTTATATATTAATATAAAATTTTTATTTATAAATAATTTTTATAAACCACTATATCTGAAAGTCGATTTCCACGAGGAAAAGATTCGTGTGAAAATGGATTGGATGGGTAAATATATAATACCATCTTTCAATAGAATTTTTTATGAGATTCAAACTCGTGGGACGCGTGGGCGTACAAAACAACATCTTTTAATCCTTGATCATTTTTAAATTTTAATGAAGTGATTATGTATCCATAATAAATCAATGTTATTCGGTCAGACTCAGACGCCATGTCCCGACAAACCCTAATCTCGATCTTCTTCTCAACGTTCGTAATCCTCTTCCACCAAAATCTGGTGGCAAGCACAACGCCCCCAGATATCCATGATCTTCTCCCTCAATACGGTTTCCCAAAGGGTCTTCTTCCCAACAACGTCATCTCCTACACCCTCTCTCCCGACGCCTCCTTTACCCTCCATTTAGATGCCCCCTGCTACGTCTACTGGGAGGACCAGCTCGTCTACTACCACGCCCTAATCAAGGGCACCCTCACCTACGGCTCCGTCTCACACGTCTCCGGAATTCAGGCCCAGAAGCTCTTCCTCTGGCTCCCCGTCACCGGAATCAAGCTCCACCAAGATTCTGACATGCTTCAGTTTTTCGTTGGAGCTTTCTCGCAGGAATTTCCCGCCTCCGACTTCCAGGATGTACCTGGGTGCTCCCCCACAGGATCGCTGCTCACTCCAAATCTTCTCCTTCCTCTCTGACTCAACCCGACCCTGTTCCTTCTTCATTCTCTCCTGTTCACTCTTCATTCTTGTTCATATTAAACACTGATGTCATTTCCAATTCAAAAATCGTTTTACAATTTATTTTATTTTTGGCATTGATTGTCCGTTGATTTCGTTTTACTTATCCATTACGGGAAAAAATTGGATGAAATCTCCAATATTCCTTCATTTTAGTATATTTTTTCTCGGAAAATTACGGGAAAAAAAAGGGGAAGAAATCGGTATATGGGATTAAAGAAAAAGAGAATAAAGTGGGATGAAAATGAAAATGAAAATGAAATTGAAAAAAAAAATGTATATTTTATAATTATTCTTTTCCTAATAGATGTTATGTAAAATTAAGGGATTTAAAGAAGTGCGTCTATTACTTGAAATTGAGGGAATTCATTCTTGTAAATGTTTGTGTAATTTTTTGGGTTTGAATAAATTTAACTCCATGTATTCAGCTAGAGGATTTTTTTCTTCTGGACCATTTTTTTTTTTCGAAATGAGATGTTATCTTTTAATGATTAATCTGTTATTAATTTTGTTTTGAAAAATTAAGCACAAAATAATTATTAATAAAAAAAAAAACTTTCTTTCAAGTGAAAAGCCTGCATTACCTGAGCAAACCTAGTTTTTACAACTAAATATCTGAGCAAATTTTCGTTTCGTATGTAATTATAGTTGAAGTTTCTTTACGCCAATGCCAAATGACCATGATTGATGATAAGTTGATGGATAAACACACGCAAATGTTCTTAAAACACTTTTAAATTTTGATTTTTTTTATCGACTTTTAAAACATCGTTATGAGGTGAATATATATATATATATATATATATATATATATATATATATATATATATATATATATATATATATATATATATATATATATATATATAAATAGGTTATATAAAAAAAAGTGTAAATATTTTAAGAACTGAAAACACTAGTAAAAATTAAAATAAATTCTATGAAATATACATATATTTAATAAACGTAAAAAATAAATCTAGAAGATTTTAATCGATGACTAAAGATATATATTTGAATAAACATTTTCATAAAAATTAACAATGAAATGAAAATTTTCATATTAATTTATAAAATTTTAATTTATGAAAATATTTTATTTTATTTTATTTTTTTGTCTTAAACATTCTTATGAAAAGTTTGTCTTAGTATATAAATTATTATTATTAGATAAGATATTTTTTTTAATTTCAAAATTTTATATGTTGAACATAAATTATTTGATGAAATCAGAATTTGATAATTATTTAATAAGATCAAAGGGAAATTTTACATATAAATTGGTTATAAAATAAGTCACACAATCTAAAGTTTTTATAAATGTCGAAATACAAGTTTACATGTTGGACCATATTATTATTTATTAGAAAAAATCCTTATAAAAAAACATGACGTATATGTAGTGAGAGTTTTGTCAAATAAGATTACAAGACTGAATGAATTTCGATAAATTTTTTTTGTATTACATTTTTTTTTTAAATGGGACCCCTCATAGTTTTAAATGAAAGATTGAGCAAGAAAAAGGTAGAATTATTAAAAAAAAAAAACTTCTAGTTCTTTAGTTTGGAAGAACATTTAAGAAGAAGGAAGAAACAATAATGTTGTAGATCTCAGATTTTGTTTTTTCTTAATTTGGATAGAGAAAGAAAAGGATTATATGAGTACAAATAATATAATAAAATGGTTTAATTTGATTTTTTTTTCATTTTTTATCTAATTAAATAATTTTTTTAATAAAATATGTCGGTGTACCTATCATCAAACTATTCTATACTAATCAAATAATTTACTTATCACCTTACTTCTTTTTCTTCTTCTTTTTTTTTAATTCCCTTTCTTCTAGAGCCAAGATGCAAGAAACGAGGATTATTAGAAATGCATTTAACCACGAACCATTTATTTACTCCTTCTAACACATTTTTAACAAAAAAAAAATATTAAAAACTACAAAATCATGACTTAACTTTTTTGTAAATACATTTTACGTCATACTAAATTTTATAATTTTTACAGAAATTTAGATGATAATAAAAATATGTTGACCACGTTGCCTTTTTCTCAAAATTTGCCCCTTATCCCCATTCTCTTATCAATTATGCATTTAGTTTCATGACACTCTAAAATTAAGTAGATATACAAATTATGGTGATTTTAGGTTAATATAAAAAAATTTAATTTATCTTTAAAAAATTATTTGAGTTCAGAATATAAAAACTTGTATTAAACTTTTCCTTCTCATTCTATTTTGTTTTTTAACCAAAATAATTCTTTGTAAGAACTTTTATAACAATAAAAATTGACACAATTATGTAACTTCATATACACTTATTTATTTTATTCACACACCACAACAAAATTATTTATAACAAAATATTTATTTTATTTTTCCTTTTTTTATCACATTACTTATTTTATTTTATATTTAGATGAATATATTTATCATTTATTAGAAATTTTTATGTTTAGTATATTTTACTTTTTTCCGATCCTCATGTATTAAAAAAAAATCTTTGTTTAAGATACATGAGATAATAAATATAAAAAAAAATCATTAATTTAAGAGACATGTAATAATAAACTGTGAGTATACATTCAAGTGACAGTAAGAAAATGTATAATATTTATAAATTTTACTTTGTATAAAATCCACAAATATAAATTATAGACTTATAAGACTTATAAATTTTACTTTATCATTTGATGTTTTGGTAGGACTTTTTGGTGTATGATTTGAGTTGTAGGTTGCCCTTCCTTGAACAAATCGACAAACACAAATCCTAAAAGATAATTGTTTGTGTCTCTTTCAAAAAGGTTCCTAACTTTGAGTTGAAAATATAAGTCTTGTGATAAATTTTTAGTTGTCTTGAGAGGTCATTTCTAAAAGAATTTATGAAGATGATTAGAAGGGAAGTCTCATTTTCATCGTTTATTTTTAATTTACTTAATATTTTTTTTTCTTATGTTTTTTACTTATTTACGTTTTCTTTTTGTAGGCTCATATTTTGCACATCCTTTTTAAAGAATACCACATTTTTTCTATTGGAAAAGAGGACTTGGATACATAAGATATTTATGTGGACAGTCCAAAGATATAAGACACTCCTTTTTTTTCATGTCCTACACCACTTTTGAAGAGGAAAAAACTTCTTGCGGGTTTGATTGGCTTTGGACAACCCATAAAGGGTCTCATCTCCTTTTTCATGTTCTCTACACACTACAAAAAAACACTTATTATCTACAGGTAAAATCCGTGTAATTTGGTCGTAGGTAATGACCTGCAGATTTTTTCCGTAGATAGGATCTCCCTCCCCTTTATATTATATTCGTATTATTTATTATATTTTCAGAACTTTGAATTATTATTAGATTAAGGGAATTGTCATTTTTTCCGTAGATAGGACCCCCCTCCCCTTTATATTATATTTGTATTATTTATTATATTTTCAGAACTTTGAATTATTATTAGATTAAGGGAATTATCATTGGCAGGATTTGAACCCAATACCTCGAGTTGGAGGCTGATACTCCAACCACTAAGCTATTAGGATATTTTGATAATAATATACAAATAAATTATATTTATATTTATCCGTGTAAATATATAAATATATATAAATATAAAATATATAAATATAAAAAATATATAAATATAAAAAATATATAAATATAAAAAATATATAAATATAAAATATATATAAATATAAAATATATATAAATATAAAATATATATAAATATAAAATATATATAAATATAAAAAATATATATAAATATAAAATATATAAATATAAAATATATATATAAATATAAAATATATATAAATATAAAAAATATATAAATATAAAATATATAAATATAAAATATATAAATATAAAATATATTTATATTTTGATATATTTATATATTTATATATTTATATTTATATATTTATATTTATATATTTATGTATTTATGTATTCATGTATTTATATATTTATATATTTATCTATTTATATATTTATGTACTTATGTATTTATATATTTATGTATTTATGTATTTATATATTTATGTATTTATGTATTTATGTATTTATGTATTTATATATTTATGTATTTATATATTTATGTATTTATATATTTATGTATTTATATATTTATGTATTTATATATTTATGTATTTATATATTTTATATTTTATATTTTATATTTTATATTTATATAATTTATATTTATATATTTATATATTTACACGAATAAATATAAGTATAATTTAGTTGTAAATTATTATTAGAATATCCTAATAGTTTAGTGGTTGGAGTATCGATTTTCAACTTTAAGGTACTGGGTTTGATTCTTGCTAGTGACAATTCTTTTAGTTTAATATAATTTACCTACGGATAATATCCGTAGGTAATGGATAATTACTCACGGATAGAATTCCGTAGGTAATATCCGTAGGTAAAATACACTTTACCTACGGATAGTAATTACGTAGGTAATTACCTACGGAATTATCCACGGATTACATTCCCTACGGATAATATCCGTAGGTAATGGATAATTACCTACGGATAATATCCGTAGGTAATGGATAATTACCTACGGATAGAATTCCGTAGGTAATATCCGTAGGTAATGTATAATTTACCTACGGATTTTCATCCGTGGGTAATATCCATAGGTAATGTAAAATTTATCTACGGATTTTTATCCGTAGGTAATATTCCGTAGGTAATAGGCTTTTTTTTTGTAGTGTACACCCTTAAAGATATTTTTGGTGGGTTAGGACGAATTTAACATATTTGGGTCATGGGGACTCTTAGCATTTATGTCTAGGTTAAGTTTATGTTTCCTTTTATAATTTCATCTAAGTCCCTCCCCCAAAAGCCTTTAAATAGAAGGTTTCTCCTTATGTAATTAGGTTGAACATTTATGACAAGTTTGTGAGTTTTCTTAGGATGTTTCATCTCTTTGAGTATCT